GACATTTATTTTACAGACAAAGGGAAATGGTTCCACTCCTGCTGTTTCACTTTCTTTGCTTCTTTCATCTCCAGGTTTGTTGAGCAAAGACAATGACGTTTGACTTGACACACACACACACACACACACACACGTACTGCTGTGCACAGACTGTATCCTGGTCCAAAGTCAAACACACACTGTTGGTCCATGGAGTACTGGAACCCAGGCAGAGGAGGCTGAGGAGGCCAGTCATGGTGGAAGGGGTCGTCACGGAGACAGTCGTAAGAACTGATGATGAAGGTCAAGCCAGTGAGAAAAAGAACTGTTGATGGTACCACAGAGACAGTACCGTGAAGTACTCACTCCAGGTACTGGTGCAGTTCCCTCCAGCTGCATCTGGACCAGTGGTACCGATGGAATGTGGCCTGGACCCGAGGAGACATAATGCTTCCTAGAGACACATCGTCTTCACAGCTGTTGGCTTCACCATCGTGCTGCATCCCCAACCTGAGAGACGGAGACAGGTGAGGACAGACAGGTGAGGACAGACAGGTGAAGACAGACAGGTGAGGACAGACAGGTAAGGACAAAGAGACAGGTGAGGACAGACAGGTGAGGACAAACAGACAGGTGAGGACAGACAGATGGAGGACAGACCCCTTCGCCTTCACCCAAAGCAGCCCCAACTAAAAAAAGATACTTGAACTGCGATTATAAATATAAAATATAAAAATAATAAATTTGGTGAGGGTGAGGTTTGGTGAGGGTTGGTGTGGGTGAGGGTTGGTGAGGTTTGGTGAGGGTTGGTGTGGGTGAGGGTTGGTGAGGGTGAGGCTGGGTGAGGGTGAGGGTGAGGGTGGGGGTGGGGTTTGCTGAGGGTGAGGGTTGGTGAGGTTTGGTGAGGGGGCGGGTGAGGCTTGCTGAGGGGGGGGGTGGGTGAGGGTGAGGTTTGGGGAGGGTGAGGGTGGGGGTGGGGTTTGCTGAGGGTGAGGTTTGGTGAGGTTTGGTGAGGTTTGCTGAGGGTGAGGGTGGCTGAGGGGGAGGTTTGCTGAGGGTGAGGTTTGCTGAGGGTGAGGGTTGGTGAGGTTTGGTGAGGTTTGCTGAGGGGGAGGTTTGCTGAGGGTGAGGTTTGGGGAGGGTGAGGGTGAGGGTGGGGGTGGGGTTTGCTGAGGGTGAGGTTCGGTGAGGGTGAGGGTTGCTGAGGGGGAGGCTTGCTGAGGGTGAGGTTTGGTGAGGTTTGGTGAGGTTTGGGGAGGGTGAGGGTGAGGGTGGGGGTGGGGTTTGCTGAGGGTGAGGGTGGCTGAGGGGGAGGTTTGCTGAGGGGGAGGTTTGCTGAGGGGGAGGTTTGCTGAGGGTGAGGTTCGGTGAGGGTGAGGTTTGCTGAGGGTGAGGGTGGCTGAGGGGGAGGTTTGCTGAGGGGGAGGTTTGCTGAGGGGGAGGTTTGCTGAGGGGGAGGTTTGCTGAGGGGGAGGTTTGCTGAGGGTGAGGTTTGGTGAGGGTGAGGTTTGCTGAGGGTGAGGTTTAAAGAGTGTTTTTGTGCCTCACACGTGTCCTGTCTCATGTGCTGCTACAAAAGCTGAAGAAAATCCGTCCTCCAGGACCAGGACACAGCTGCGGTGAAGTTGACACATGCCAGTGACCGGAGCATATCCTGTGGACACATAAGGGTCAGGTGACCGTCTCCTGGATCAAGCCTGTCCTGGACCTTCTAGACTCAGGCAGACCAGGCTCCACAGTGGGATCAGGGTTAGCGTTAGCACCGGTACCTTGCATGCCGGATGGTCCGAACTCCTGCCTGGTCAGGTAGATGGTGTGGTCGTGCTGCTCGGCGTGACTCTGCTCCCTCTGCTGGAGGTACGACCAACCACAGACCTTCTCTAGACTCTTCTGAGGATCTCCAGCTGAGATCAGCTCCAGGGACTGAACAAAAACACAAGTGGGTCAGACGGTCAGACAGCGTTGCGGTGGTTCTTGGGTGGTCTGGATGACCGTGTCGGAGCACCGACCTTTGATGCTGACAGCATGATGATCCGAACCAAAACCGTGTTGATGTTGGCACCCAGGGAATGATCCTGGTAGATCTCATTGACCTGGGACACAGACAACAACCAGGTTCACCTTTGACCCCAGACCAGGAGTCAGCACATTAACAACAACGCTCAGTGTGTTTGATAGGAAGGCAGTTCAAGGGTCACCTACGATGTTCATGAAGGTGAGGAGAAATTTCTGAATGTGTTCTCGGCCGTGAAACAAGAGAACTGAATAATCCACCGCCAACAGAACCTGCACCAGAGTAGAGTATGACCATCACCATCATCATCACCATCATCATCATCATATTTGTTATCACCTCAATGTTGAAGAGCTCCGCCTCCTGGATGTATCTGCGCCTGCGTCCTGAGTTCCGTCTCAGATTCTCCTGGTTCAGAGACTCGGACAGAGGAGCTGTAGAGTCAGGTTGATTTTGAATAATGAGCTTGACCTGTGACCTCAGCTGACCTGTACCTTTGAGACCCCCAGATGTTCAAGCATTGCCTTAAATAATGAAAATCCAACTCCAAACCTGGAGAATAGTAACACAAATGATCACATGACCAGGGAGTGGGTGGAGCCTCAGTGGCTTCACTCAGGGAGGTGGTTCATGTGGAGGACTGAACTATCTGTCAACTTTGAGACCATGCCCCCAAAACCTCCAAGAATCTGACACCCGACACCGCCACGTCGCAGCTGGAGTGTGTATGAGTGTGTGTGTGTGTGTGTGTGTGTGTGTGGGACGTTCTTATGGAACCAACTCATTGTTTTGACTCCGATTTTTTCCGTTTTGCAAAAACCACTTGAGCAGATCGCACGACAAACTCTGCTCTTTGGAAAATGATTTTCTTAGCTCAGTGCACACACACACACACACACACACACACACACAAAATCAGGGATGTGATTGTATTAATTAGGTTTTCAATAAGGATTAGGATTAGGGCCAGGATTAGGAGTAAACTCTAGGTGACACAGGACAATTCAGTCAGGTGTGTGTGGGGGGGGGTCCTACCTGAGAGGAAGTCATTCACTGTTTGATTGCCGGCTGTTTTTGTCCTTACAGCAGAGGCACGATACACCACATGAGGGCGCCCTGCTGTTTCTTGGTCGTCTCCCTCCTCGTCTCCTCCTCCCTCCGTCCTCCGTCTTCTTAACGGTTGGATGAAAAACTCATCATCAGGTGTTTGAATAATTCCAGCCTGAATCCCAGAAAAAGCAGGAGTGATGTCATCATCCAGAGTCCAGACCTGGTCGACCCCCCCCCGCCCCCCCACTCCCACACCCCCTGACCTCTTTCTGTGATATTTACTGAGTCTCGACTGTTCTATTGGTCATTCCAGTGTGTGTGTGTGTGTGTGTGTGTGTGTGTGTGTGTGTGTTTACCAGTCCATCACAGGTGCTGACTGCCACACTCGTCTCCTCCATGTTGGCCACATCTCCGATGTATAAACAGTCACTGCCTCTGATTGGTTCAGAGTGCAGTTGTCCTGACTCCTCCCATTCCATGCTAGCAGTCGGAGCCACCAGACGAGAGTTTGGACGCAGCTGTAGGCGGAGCTTCTGACCAAACACTGTGATGTTGTAGTAAAGCTGCATCTGGCCTTCTATTTGCCCCCTCCAGGTTCCACTTCTCTGATTGGATGGTGGCATGTGTTGTGTCTGGCGTTTTTGTCTGACGTTGTTAATGGGTGTGCCCCATTTCCTGCGATGCTGCAGGTGAGAGAGGTGCATCATGGGGAGGACACGTCCCTCAGAGTCTGTTCTGATTGGTTGAACAATGTCAAAGTCTGTGAGGAGCTGATGAAGAGAACCTGAACACACACACACACACACAGAGTGATGTCATCATATCAGTTAGTGAAAACAGTCTGATTGACAGTTGATGGTCCAATAGGAGCCTGTCTTTCTGACTGTTCAGTTGTACTCACCTGCATCATCACTGATGTAAACTGAGTGAAAACAGTTGATCTGGAACAGAAAGAGAAGAATCGGTACCAGTCCATGTTGATGGTCCTCCATCCTGAGACACAGTCAGAACAGTCAGAGCTGCAGAGACACAGTGACTCAGAGACAAAGACTCCTTCTCCTCTGATCTCCTCCTACTGTCTCTCTCTCTCTCTCCCTCTCTCTCTCACACACACACGCCCAAGGTTATATCCACTAGGTGGAGCTGTTGTAAACAGCATTAATATCAGTTCAGTTCTGCCATGCGGCCACAGCAGAGGGCTCATACAACACATCTCATAGTTTAACACAGGTTTCAGCTGACTCTCACACGCCCCCTGCTGGTTACCTGCAGACTGTTAACTTTCACCTCAGTGAAGACATCGGAGACACTTCCTGCTCCGCTCTCAGACTGTATGTTATTTGTTGTCAACAATGACACGTTGACCGGACGGAACTGAAACAGTGGACAGATGTTTACGTTCATTCAGCGGGAGCTAACGAGGCTAAAGTAAAACACCGCAGCGGTGTTGTTTAGGAACACAGTCCCACGGAAGGAGAAGAGCACATGACAAAACATTGTCGTGACCGTCTGAAAGAACCGAGTATCGAACGGAGCATCATCACGTTACAAACACTGGTAAAGTTAAGAGCGGAGCCACTTCCGCTGTCGTAACGGTCTAGGTTTCAGCTTTACTTCCGTTTCATCACGCAGTTTAAACAGCGACGACTGTTGAGATTGTACTGTTGATTAGTTTGGACTGTAACTCTTATGTTTGGTCTGAAGTCTGTCTTTGAAATCATTTTGTGTACGAACATCAATCGACAAGAAGCTGACAACAAAACAAACAATCGATAAAATAAACAAAACAGAGTCAACGAGTGGATGGATGGATGGATGAGTGAATGATGGATGGATGGATGAGGGAGTGCAGAGACTAACAACATCAAAGGTTTTTTTTCTGGTACAAAAAGACACACTAACATCCATTACTGCAAACAAAAGTATTTATTCAACTTAAAAAATATTTTTATTTTTATGAATCTGATCCTTGTGAATGATATTTGTGAATTTTTGTTAAAGTTCAGTTAAAACAACATCACAGCAACTTTGAGCCAATCACGTCCACACACACACACAAAAAAAACATCAAAAATGTTCTCTTCTGTTATTGCATTAAATCCAATAAATAAAAACTGTCTGTGGATGAAGTGGTGACTGTGACGGTGTGGACAAGACTGTGGTTGATATTATTTACAGATAAACAACAAAACAACACTGGGGGGGAGGGGGTAAGAGAGGGGGAGAGAGAGAGATGATGATGATGATGTGAAAAGTCTAAAGAAGAAGTTGACCAAGGATCAAAAAAAGAACAAAGTGAATTTAACACGTTATTATAAAAACACTCAAATAGCAGAGGGAAAAGGCAGAAGATCTCCCTCTATGGGTGATGGTGGTGAACTGCAGGACAGGAACCAGTCAGTTCGTCAGTGAACCGCAGTCCAAAAGTTTAAAAATCGTTTTCTCTGAAAAATACTAATGTGTCCATGTTTTTTTGTGTAAAAACAGCTGACTGTCCTCATGTCCCATGATGCTCTTCTCACAGAGGGCTCCCCTGCTGGACAATTTAAGGACTACAATATGTTTTCTCACTGACAGACAGACTGGAGACATTGGACAGTTTTTCTTGACCCCATCATCAGCAGGTGAAGCCTCCCCCTCCTCCAATCAGATCTCACATCTGATCCACTGGACCAGGACCAGGACCAGGACCAGGACCAGGACCAGGACCAGGACCAGGACCAGGACCAGGACCAGGACCAGGACCAGGACCAGGACCAGGACCAGGACCAGGACCAGGACCAGGACCAGGACCAGGACCAGCTTCTGGTTGTGGTTGTTTTCTGTTCTACAGACAGATGTTGTTGCTGATCTGGCAGGTGGAGCCAGTCCCAGCCTGAGACAGGAAGAGACGTCCGTTTGGACAGACACAAACCTCGTAGACCGTCTGCCTGCTTCCAGAGGACACGGACGAGGACGAGGCTTTTCCTTCAGGAAGACGCATGAGACGGATCCGACGAGCGTCCAGGGAAATCTGACAGGGACGGAGCAGAGGTGAGACGCTGACAACGTCTGTCAAGAGTCAGAGGTTTGAAAACCATGATGAGGTTCTGACTGGGCTGTGAGCACCCCCTGCTGTCAGAACATATACTTGCACTTCTACTGTATCTGTACTGAACCGTTCCATTCAGGTCTCGGATCGTAAATGTTGACAAACAATGATTTTTTTACAACGACCGGATGAAAAGACAGAAAATTAAAGATGTTCATGCTTAAAGACTTTTTAAGGTGGCTTGTCCAACGACACCTTAAAGAATCTTTAAGGTGGTCTTTAAGGTGGTAGGAATATTTTGTGAATACTACAGCCTGTTTCTAATTCTTCTTTTTGGTTTAAATGTTTGAATATGTGTTTGACCTTCATTTGAAGATGTGTGTGTGTGTTTGTGGCTCTCACCTCTCCGTCCTTGGACTCCAGCCTCAGCTCGTTCCTGCAGATGGCCTGGATGTCTCCAGCCTCAGCCAGGATCTGGACGCCCTTAGGAGCCTCCATCAGCAGAGAGCGAGTCGGAGACTCCAGCCTGGAAACACAGGAAGTGGAAATGTGTGAGTGACAATGACGAGGATGATGAGGATGATGAAGATGGTGGAGTTGACTGCTGTCTCCACTCTCAGGGCGGAGTTTCTTATTTGGGACTTTATTGTTGTAAGATTTACACAAACAGGCCACCGGAGGCAGCAGTGAATCTCTGCTGTTCTTCTTTCACGGTGAAGTTAAACAATAAAAGATTTGAACCAGCAGAGGTGGAACTGGAACCACCGCCGGTTCTAAAATCGTTCATTTTCTCCATGAGGTTTGGTGTGATTTGTGACCCACACGGTCCACGGACAGAACCGATGGATCCTGAGCTGGAGGACATCAGTGTCAGCGTTCACCTCAGTCTGGAGTCACCCAAACTCACCTCAGCTCCTTGAAAGGCTCAGCCCTCACATGTGGCGTCTCCACTGATTTGGTGAAAACAGCTCCTTCAGCTCCTGGAACCAAACAAACAAACAAATTATTTCCTCTTTTCCAACTCCTATTCCGTTTATTTCATTCCCTTCTCCGTCCCTCTTCCTTTATCACAGTTTCTTGCCTTTATTTCCTCCCAGGAGTGAGTTTGTCTCTCCACCCTCCCTCATTCCTCCCCCCGTCTTCAGTGTAAAGTGAGGACAGCGGCGCTAACACAACACTAGCACTCTATTCATATTGTGAAATGTTTGAGACCCAGTTATTACATGTTTTCCAAGAAAGCAGAAAGCAGGGGGCGCCACAGAAAATAACAATTTCACTTTGTTGAAAGTATTAGAGATACAATACTTAGAGAATGTGTTCACATCTAATCTGAACATGAGAACAAGGAACCGATGTTTGCAAATCACTAACTCTTCTGGTGATTTTAGTTCAGACCAAAGTCCATGGAGAAAATCAGAGATTTTAGTTCAGACCAAAGTCCATGGAGAAAATCAGAGATTTTAGTTCAGACCAAAGTCCATGGAGAAAATCAGAGATTTTAGTTCAGACCAAAGTCCATGGAGAAAATCAGAGATTTTAGTTCAGACCAAAGTCCATGGAGAAAATCAGAGATTTTAGTTCAGACCAAAGTCCATGGAGAAAATCAGAGATTTTAGTTCAGACCAAAGTCCATGGAGAAAATCAGAGATTTTAGTTCAGACCAAAGTCCATGGAGAAAATCAGAGATTTTAGTTCAGACCAAAGTCCATGGAGAAAATCAGAGATTTTAGTTCAGACCAAAGTCCATGGAGAAAATCAGAGATTTTAGTTCAGACCAAAGTCCATGGAGAAAATCAGAGATTTTAGTTCAGACCAAAGTCCATGGAGAAAATCAGAGATTTTAGTTCAGACCAAAGTCCATGGAGAAAATCGGAGATTTTAGCTCAGACCAAAGTCCAGAGCCATAAAATGAAAATCAGTGATAACCTAACCAGTTAGCCATGGTGTTCATGACAGACCTCCAGTTCCTGCTGTTTTTTCAATCCTTCTCCCGGACCTGCGGCGGAGTTCCACTTCATTTACTGCAGACCCCCCCCCCCCACCCACACACACTCAATTAGTTCCTGTTATTATGGTAATGAGAGAGCCATATGGTACACAAAAATACACAAAATCCTCCCTAACAGGACGACTCCTGCGTGTCTTGTTTCAGCCGATGTTTGACCCATGCATTAATCAGTGTCTTGGCCGCTGATATGAATGGAAGCGAAAACAGCGCTTCACTATCTTCCTGTTCAAACTCCACACAAAGTCTCTGGATTTAATTTTCCAAACATCTGCTGCACATTAAAGAAGAAACAGGATTATTTCTGCACAACAAACTCAGCTGAGATCAGATCTGTCCTCAGCTGCTGTTTCTGTAGCTGTGAGCCCAGAACCAAACAGCAGCCACAGTCACAGCGGGTCCTGGAGACCAGCAGACTCATGTGAAGCAGATCCTCAGACCTCAGTAACAGGATCCTGACTGAGGTTCAAGTCCAGGTTTACTGTTTGAATCCACTGTTGGTTCCCGGGTCTCAGATCTGTTCCAATTCTCCGTGAATCCACTGGCTGATCTTCAGAGAGTGCAGCTGCAACAGGAGGAGGACAGGGGGCGCTCCTGTCACTGTGTTTAATCAGACTGAAAGCGATCGTTGGATTCCTGTCAACTGACTGCGTTAACGACATGATGAAGAGTCCATTAAAGAACCAGCAATGGCTGTGTTTGAGAGAGTGCACGTGAGAGAGTGCACGTGGCTGTTACAGCTCCACTGGCCTGTACCAATAAAAACACACAGCTGGAAACAATGTTGATCAAATGTCACTGGTCCAAGAGGAGGAGAACAGACCAGACCAGAACAGAACAGAACAGAACAGACCAGAACAGAACAGAACAGAACTGAACTGAACTGAACAGAACAGAACAGAACAGACCAGTTCAGAACAGAACTGAACAGAAAAGAAGAGAACAGAACAGAACAGAACTGAACTGAACAGAACTGAACTGAACAGAACAGTTCAGAACAGAACTGAACAGAAAAGAAGAGAACAGAACAGAACAGAACAGAACAGTTCAGAACAGAACAGAACAGAACTGAACAGACCAGTTCAGAACAGAACTGAACAGACCAGACCAGACCAGATCAGAACAGAACTGAACAGAACAGAAGAGAACAGAACAGAACAGTTCAGAACAGAACAGAACAGAACTGAACTGAACAGAACAGTTCAGAACAGAACTGAACAGAACAGACCAGTTCAGAACAGAACTGAACAGACCAGACCAGACCAGTTCAGAACAGAACTGAACAGACCAGACCAGACCAGTTCAGAACAGAACTGAACAGAACTGAACAGAACAGAAGAGAAGAGAACAGAACTGAACAGAACAGTTCAGAACAGAACTGAACAGAAAAGAAGAGAACAGAACAGAACAGAACAGTTCAGAACAGAACAGAACAGAACTGAACTGAACTGAACAGAACAGAACAGAACTGAACTGAACTGAACAGAACAGAACAGAACTGAACTGAACTGAACAGAACAGAACAGAACTGAACTGAACAGAACAGTTCAGAACAGAACTGAACAGAACAGACCAGTTCAGAACAGAACTGAACAGACCAGACCAGACCAGTTCAGAACAGAACTGAACAGAACAGAAGAGAACAGAACAGAACAGAACAGAACAGAACAGAACAGACCAGTTCAGAACAGAACTGAAGAGAACAGAACAGAGCAGTTCAGAACAGAACTGAACAGAAAAGAAGAGAACAGAACAGAACAGAACAGAACTGAACAGAACAGAAGAGAACAGAACAGAACAGTTCAGAACTGAACAGACCAGTTCAGAACAGAACTGAACAGAACTGAACAGAACAGAAGAGAACAGAACAGAACAGAACAGAACAGAACAGTTCAGAACAGAACTGAAGAGAACAGAACAGAACAGAACAGAAGAGACCAGTTCAGAACAGAACAGGACAGAACGTGACCTGGAGACACAGAACGTCAACAGACCTGAAGAGGAACTCTCCTCAGGTCCCTGTACTGATGTAGAGTCTGTCAGAGTTACACCTACCAACCACCAGGGGTCACCTCTCTGTTGATTTGTCTGTAACTTAACCTTAAGTTAAACTAGTTAGTTACAGACTAAAATGCTAACAAACATTAGCAACAACAAAGTGTTCCACGCATGTCCCAATCAATTACTAGGTATAATCATTGTAATGATCCTCAGGGGGCGCCACAGCACTGTCCACAAAGTGAAAAGGACAGTTTAGGGGAAAGGGTGAATAATACTCTTCTGTAGAAGAACATAATAAACATAAAAAAAGTTTAATAAACATATTTAATTATTTCACATCAACAATACCGCCTTAACAGAACCAAAATATTAAAAATACCGCCTTAACAGAACCAAAATATCAACAATACCACCTTAACAGAACAAAAATATCAAACAATACCACCTTAACAGAACAAATATATCAAACAATACTAATTTAAATGAACCAACAATACCACTTTAAAAGAACTAAAATATCACCTATACCACCATAAACAGCGCCACCTTAAGGGAACAGACATCAGAAATATTACCTTGCTGTGGTCTGACCATTTCCCCCGGCAGCAGACGACGGACTGTGAAACCACACGTTTGTCTTTTGTTTTTCCAGTGACTCCGTGTCATCTGGGCCGCCGTCACGGACCCACGTTACAAAGACGTTTATTTTAATTAAAGAAATGAAAAAGTGACTGGAGCCTGACGAGGTCTGACACTTTATCCACACTGATCACGTAAACGTTCAAAGTCCTCCCTGGTTTCCTGCTGTCGCTCGCAGCTGATTATGGAGCAGAAAGTCATCAGGACTTTGATGAGGTTTGGGAATTGAGCAGCAGCAGAGACACGTTTGACTGCGGTTCGTCGTTCATTACTGCACCAAAAACACCGCAGGAGAAACGGTGTCTTCACTTCAACGGAAACTCTCTTCATTCCATTCAGACTTAAACCATGTACATCACCAAACTGAAACCTCAAAGACCACCTTAACTGAACAACAAAAATATCAGAAAATACCACCTTAAGAGCCAAGCCAAATACATCAAAAGCCTTTGTCCTATAAGATTTGCAAAGAGCAGAGATGAATTTGAGAAGTTTCTTCAGAAGACTCTTTTGAAGAGGAGCATCAGAAGTTCTGAGTCTGAGTCCTGGAGAGAAACCTCTGACTGAAGAAGAAGAAGAAAAAGAAGAAGAAGAAGAAGAAGAAAAAGAAGAGCTTCAGGCGGAAGAACAACAGGAAGTGGCTGTGAGTGCGAGGAGCAGAAACGTTAGAGAAGGAAAAGTTTGAACAAACAAAACAACAAAAAAAAAAAACCAGTCTGGTGAGAAAAGTGGAAGCTGCGGTGGGAACAGGTCTGCAGGAGGCGCTGTCAGAAGGTCCACTAAGTAACAAGGACCACAGCGTGTCCTTCAACCAGATGAAACAACAGTAGCTAGGGGCGCCACCTGCTGACAATGTCCTCCCAGTGACACACATAGAAAGAGAAAATCAGAGATTTTAGTTCAGACCAAAGTCCGTAGAGTTCAAGTCCTCTGACAGAGGTCTGGTGCAGAGCCCACTCCCTGTGGAGGCAGTGGAGTGGGCTGCCACAGGGAGGCAGAGTGTGGACCCACTGCCTCCACAGGGAGGCAGTGGGTTCACACACATTTAACAAATCAGGTTGTTAAATGTGTGTTAGCCTCTCGAGCCGTTGGTTAATATTTGATGATGGTTTTTTTAACAGGGAGCGTTCCATTACACAAAGAGCCTTAAAGACTTATGAGTCTGGCCCTGCTCTGTCCATCTGCTGTCTGAAAATGTGCCACCTTTCAGAGGGATCATCCTGGTCCTCAGCTACATCTCTGAAGGTCCAGATGCTGCCGTTGCTGTCTAGTTTATCCAGAAATAATTTTAGCTTGAGAACAACAGAATTGTCTATATAAAGTATATCTATATAGATAAACTGTACATAGATATTAGGGATGTCCGATATCATCATATTTAGTAGGAACATCTGTAAGAATCGTTATCACTTTTTCCTCCGATAATGAAAATCCGATATCGCAACGCCAAGGTTTCACCAAATGACACCCTAAAAATAGTTCAATGCCCCGGCAACAGACCAATCAGACGCCTCCGTCTATGAAGAACGTTTAATGAAACCCAACTGCAGTCACTGGTTCTAAACTCTCCTGAAGCTCCTCCCCCTCCCCCATACCAGTGACTATTTATGTTCCACAGTACTCCAAGCTCTTTGATGACATCATCACCATCTGAAAGATCGAAGGTTAAAGGTCTTCACTCACCCATGACCCTCAGTCGGTCGGCTCCCACCACCACTTCCTGTTCATCAGCAGAAAACAGAAGTTTCCCAGATGTGGATTTGACTTCAAACAGTTTTCCT